CTGCACTTTGCCGCTGTTTCAAGGCAGGAACATGGCGGCGTTCTTCTCTCTGTGTGACTGTGATGTGATTGGGTTTGATTTGGATCACACTCTCTGTCGGTACAACGTCCCGGAGACCTTCGGGGTGAGTCTCACGTCTTTTTTTTATTGCAGCTTCAACCAATTCACCCCCAACCCATCACCCCGGGCACCAGCCCCCCCCCCCCGGGCACCAGCCCCCCCCCCCCCCGGCACCAGCCCCCCCCCCGGGCACCAGCCCCCCCCCCCCGGGCACCAGCCCCCCCCCCCGGGCACCAGCCCCCCCCCCGGGCACCAGCCCCCCCCCCGGGCACCAGCCCCCCCCCCCCCGGGCACCAGCCCCCCCCCCCCGGCACCAGCCCCCCCCCCCCGGGCACCAGCCCCCCCCCCCCCCCGGGCACCAGCCCCCCCCCCCCCCCCCCCCCACCCCCCCCCCCCCCCGGGCACCAGCCCCCCCCCCCCGGGCACCAGCCCCCCCCCCGGGCACCAGCCCCCCCCCGGCACCAGCCCCCCCCCCCCGGGCACCAGCCCCCCCCTCCCCCCCGGGCACCAGCCCTCACCCCCCCCCCCCCGGCACCAGCCCCCCCCCCCCCGGGCACCAGCCCCCCCCTCCCCCCCGGGCACCAGCCCCTCACCCCCCCCCCCCGGGCACCAGCCCCTCACCCCCCCCCGGGCACCAGCCCCCCCCCCCCCGGGCACCAGCCCCTCATCCCCCCCCCGGGCACCAGCCCCTCACCCCCCCCCCGGGCACCAGCCCCACACCCCCCCCCCCCCGGGCACCAGCCCCTCACCCCCCCCGGGCACCAGCCCCTCACCCCCCCCCGGGCACCAGCCCCTCACCCCCCCCCCCCCCGGGCACCAGCCCCTCACCCCCCCCCGGGCACCAGCCCCCCCCCCCGGGCACCAACCCCCCCTCCCGGGCAGCAGCCCCTCACCCCCCCCCCCCGGGCAGCAGCCCCTCACCCCGGGCACAAGCCCATTGCCCTGGGCACGAGATAGGGAGGCTGGCACTGTGTGTGTGAGAGGCTGGCACTGTGTGTGTGAGAGGCTGGCACTGAGTGTGTGTGAGAGGCTGGCACTGAGTGTGTGTGAGTGAGTGTGTGTGAGAGGCTGGCACTGAGTGTGTGTGAGAGGCTGGCACTGAGTGTGTGTGAGAGGCTGGCACTGTGTGTGTGAGAGGCTGGCACTGAGTGTGTGTGAGTGAGTGTGTGTGAGTCTGTCAGTGTGTGTGTGTGTGAGAGTGAATGTGTTAGTGTGTGTGTGTGTTAGTGTGTGTTAGTGTGTGTGTGTTAGTGTGTGTGTGTGTTAGTGTGTGTGTGTTAGTGTGAGTGTGTGTGTGTGTGTTAGTGTGTGAGTGTGTGTTAGTGTGTGTGTGTTAGTGTGAGTGTGTGTTAGTGTGTGTGTGTTAGTGTGAGTGTGTGTGTGTGTGTTAGTGTGTGAGTGTGTGTTAGTGTGTGTGTGTGTTGTGTGTGTGTTAGTGTGAGTGTGTGTGTTAGTGTGTGTGTGTTAGTGTGAATGTGTTAGTGTGTGTGTGTGTTAGTGTGTGTGTTAGTGTGAGTGTGTGTGTTAGTGTGTGTGTGAGTGTGTGTTAGTGTGTGTGTGTTTGTGTGAGTGAGTGTGTGTGAGTGTATGTTAGTGTGTTAGTGAGTGTGCGTGTGTTAGGCTGGTGTGATCAGCACCTTGCACACAGGAGGAGAAACTAGTCTGGTGGGCAAAGCCTCAGGCACACAGACACACACAGAGACAGGGACCATAGACACACACAGACACACACACACACACACACAGAGACAGGGACCATAGACACACACAGAGACACACACACAGAGACACAAACACACACACACAGAGACACACACAAAGAGAGATAGACACACAGAGAGACAGACAGGGACAGAGACACTCACACAAGAGAGAGAGGGGACGATCCATGACAGCAGAATGCTCCAGGAGCTGGGCTGTCATTGCTGATGGCAGAGCAGGCCTCTTTGACTGCAATGGCTTTGCTGCTACCATTCAGCCTGTTTACAAGCCAAAAAGACACACCTTCAGCTTCCCCAGAGAGCTGGCAAAACAGCCAGCCTGTCTGCATTTGTACCCAGCTTATTACTGGTGGGTGTGAGAGGATCTGGAGGGGGAGGGTGTGCTGGACAGGGACAGGGCTTGACGTGCAGAACCTACAGCTGTGCACTCTGATGTGTTGAATTGGAGTTTATTTCAAGATCCTGAAGAGATCAGGAATGTTGCTTCGGGCTTTTGACATGGTGACAGGCTGACTGGCCACTGTTACTGGTAATCAATGCATAACTCGAAGATATCAGTGTTGTACAATTTAAAAAACCAGATTCTCTCTCCTCCACCCCCTCCACCACATCCCAGTGTAATGTATATAGTATGTAGTTTGTATTACATATATAGTTTTAGACATGACATGTGCATTCAACTGCCAGGATGGTGGAAGGAGAACTGGATAGAGTTTGGCCTTCTTTAGTCTATCAATTCTTATGATCTTACATAGTAGCTATTTGGAATAAACTGTCAACAAACCATTTAATTCTGTACATTTTTACTGCTTGAAAAATAATTGGAATAAATAAATGGGATTCATCAAGGTTTTGTGGTTAAGTACAGTATAGCTTAAAATGATCAATTGAGGCACTGGTACTGCAATTACAAAGGAGGTATCATCACCGGTGGAAAGGAAATAAGCAGATCTTAATCAAAGATCAATGTTTGGTGAATTAATCTGGGATTGTTTTTGATTCATTTAGGTGATGCAATAATATTTACATCAACAAAATTTACTTGAAATAATAACTCAAAGTGCTTATTGCACAGATGTTGCTCTTGGGATATTAAATATGTTAATTTTAATTTTCAACATCTGATAGGGAAAGTAAACCCCAAATAATAAACTTTGGGGTTCACTTAGTCAGCAGAACATTCATAGAGTCACAAGTTTAAGCTTGCGAAGGAGCTTAAGGCACACAACGGGAAGTATTTTTTCACTCAGTGGTGATCAGCAGCTCAATTAGATTAACAGAAAGGATGATTGAGGTGAGGACACTGGACTTGATTAAGAAACAGTTTATTATGGTAATACTTGCATTTGATCGTCTTATGTCTCAAAGCAGTTCACATGAATTTACTGTAAAGTGTAGTGCTTTGTTGATTTTTAAGTGAACATGACAATCAATTTGCACACATCAGTGTCCCACAGCTAGCCATGAAGTGAATGGCCGTTTTTATCTGAGAAATTGTTGGCTGGGGCACAGGGAGAAACCCCTCAGCTTTTTGAATAATGCAATAACCAGATAAATGGGAACTCAATTTCATGTCTCATCATGTCCAACAATGTAGCTGTTCCCCCACCACTGTATTGGAATCTCAGTCTAGACCCTGAGCTCAAAGTTGATGCTGCAGAGGGAAGACTGTAGGGTTGGCAATGGGAAGGATGGAATAAATATTCTCATCGTAATGTGGCTGGAACATTTTTGAAGCAGAATTGATTTAAAAGGTTAACCGGGAGATTGGTAGATATTTGCATTTGTGCTGGTTCTCTTCCCCCTGAAAAAAACATGAAAAAATACATGATCCAAAAATATTTATTTGCTATTTGAATTGTTATATTTGTAAACCATGAATGCTTATTGTCTGTGTGTGCAAATTAAACTTAAATTGTTATTGTAAACAGCTACAGTACATCGTTGTTACAAAATCTGTGATTGCCAGTCACCCTGAGCATCCCTATTTTTCTGAATCTTCTCACATTCGACCATCCAGATAGGAATGGACCTCCAGCTGTTCTTTTAGGTTGAGGATTGTGCATGATGTTGTATGACTATATAAAAAAAGGAAGGAAACAAACTTTGTATCAAATGCAAGGATTATTATTATAAACTTGCATGTAGTAGAATTGTAAAATGAGAATACATTGGCAGCTATCAAGCAGACAATTCTGTAGCTATTCCTTTTGCTCTAGCGGCAAATGAATGAAAACAAAATACTGTGCTAAATGAATGGTGTGACCTTGGAAAGATTTTAGAAAGACTTTGGTTTAATGTATTTGTTTTATGGGCATTGGGCTTTTGCCAGAATAATGTATAGTTATTGCATTTTACTGACTTTTTGAAGCAAAAGTGTTTTAACTTAGAAAATCTACCGACCAGACCTTTGCAGATTTAATTGCTGATTGATGCTGACTTACCTGATCTCAAATGATCCTGGAAGAGAAAACGGTAGTCAGGATTTGTACTTCAGATTCCTCTTTCCCCTGCTGGAAAGTCCAGCTGTCAATATTGGATGAGATTGTAATTGAACTTGACAGTGATGCCCTCCACAGCGAAGTATAGTGAAAGTAGTCATTGTTGAGACTGGAATGATGGTCACTTTGACCAATGGCCTGGACTGCTGCTAGTGTCTTGGAACCAGACCTCAGAGACATTTGGAGAGAATTTTCAGGAGAGAATAAGAAAATCAACTTTTTGATCAACCCTCCAAATCAACCCTCCAAAAACCTGCTTGGAAAGTCTAAGGATATTGACTATTACTGTGGATCCCTGTTAAAAATATGATGCTTGAGATCTAGATCCATCAAATTCCACCCCGCCTTATAATGAGCTGTGATAGCGGGTTTGACTGCACGTGTGTACAGCTGGCTGGCTGGTTCGCTCCCTGTGTTCCTATGCCAAAAGATAAAAGGGTCACAATGTTACTTGGTGTTTTGTGCACAAGTGCAAAGTGGGAAGTGAAGTTGGCGGTCACAATTTATTTTAGAATGGGAATCTGGAATAGCTGATTTACAAGTGTAAAGATCACCAGCTACATCAATTCCTGCTTTACATCTGCACACCACAGCAGGAAGTGTTATCAGTGGCAACCTTATGCCTTGGATGTCTGCCATTTTAACGTGAAAAGTCAGCCGCGCGCGCACACAATAAATATGGTCCACAGTCCAATCACATTATAAACTGAAATGAAGCATATTATAATGGGGTTGCACTGTATGATTTTGTCAGGATAATTGATATTTAATACTTGTCCATAATATACTTTTGCAGCTGCAATGAAATGATTTATAAAATGCTATGCAGACTGCATATTTTTTCTTTGAAAATTAATTGCACCTTAAAAAGCATGAACAAGATATGACTTTGCATAAATATGAAGATGTTTAACAATGCAATGAGAACATTAATCCTTGTAATACGGGCTCAGTATATGTTAACTTATTTTAAAGCAAAATAACAATTCAGATTTATCGCCAACATGTCAAACCAGAAGACTTCAGGTATTGAAAAAGGCAGGTTGTCCGTAGGTGGTTATATGAACAAATTCTTCACAGCAGAAAGCAATATATTTTCACTGGGATGTAATCGTTGAAAGTATTTCCTGCGTCAAAAACTCTGTTGTACTGTATTGTGCAGATCAACACACATCATATTTACTTGAGTTTTTGTATCAGAATTGTACAACACAACATAACACTATATAATATGTTTCTTTTTGAAATCCACAGTTGATATATGACAGCTTTGCTCAATTCTTAGTTGAACAGAAAGGCTACAACCGGGATCTTCTGACTCTAACTCCTGAGAGCTGGGATTTTTGGTGAGTCCTTGTTGTCCTTTTTGGAATAAACTCAGTAAAATGGAATGTACTTTCAATACCATGGTAAACAAACAGAACCTTTGTTAAATTAAACAAAATGTTTGGAATCAAATACTTTAACTGCTGGCAGTCGTGAGCTTCATTTGCTCTTAAAGTTTTGCCAGTGGATAACGTCTTTTGCTCCAATAATTGGAGACAAGAATATGTTTAGAGACTACAAGCTTTGATCACTTAACAATCGCAAACTCTCAAAGAAGGAAGGGCACAACTCGACATTAACCTATGGTGTAGTGTCATCTCAGTATAAATGTTTCAGATTTAGTAATAACTAATTTGTTAGACCTTGACATGGAGTCTATACATTTTATTTGGAACCAGAGTTTGCTGGTTATTTGGTTGGCACAACTCAGTAAAGTCTAGAAAACCTATATTTACTAAATTGTCAATGCTAGATTTTCTTGATTTAAAATAAGGCTTTCCAAAGAGGTTACCAGGCCCTGTGCAGTAGCTCTAACGAATTTTGCATCCTGTGCTTAAATCGATTTCTCACTGTAAGTGTGGAATGTGACATTCACTAGAATTAGTAAAATCACAATGATTACATTTTAATAGTGCTGGAGTAGATGTAAGGATCATACTTATATAATCCTTGCATTTGATATAGCGCCTTATCACGTCTTTGAGATGTCTCAAAGCACTTCACAGAATATACTGTAAAGTGAATTGACTATGTTTTGTGGGTGAAGCGTGTTGAAACAATACAAACAAATTAATTAGGGAAACTTAATTGGACAGTTTACAATTGAGGAAATGTTCCCAGATGAAGAATTCTTAATTAGTGAAATTTATGATGACAACAACTACTTAACTCCTTCAGTAAACATGGAGCAATACCTTTGTACTTAACATGGGAATGGTCAACATTGAACAGAAAGGGGGAGACATTTAGAGTTGAATGAAGGCATGGTTGGAGAATTGAAGAAAATTACCAGCAATGTTTGAAACTATTTGCTAATAATGTGCTTGAATATCTGTATAATCTTCCAATACCTTCATTAGCAGTGTGTATTTTTATTAGCAGTGTGTATTTTTATTAGTAGTGTGGATTTTTATTAGTATTGTGGATTTTTATTGGTAGCGTGGAGATTTGAAAACTCATTACGTTTATTGAAAGTAGAATCGTAGATGTGTGCCATTCGTTATAACGTTCTTGGTTTATATTTTTTGCTGATAGATTTTGTGCTCAAACAATATGATGCACTATGGAACACTTTTTACACTTGTTAAAACCAGTATGAGCACTCCAAGGAAAGCCATAGAATGAGTTGCAACCATTGTAAAGCTGCATTTACAGTATCTCAGCAATGTGCTTCAGCTCAGCCCCAGAAAAGCACCCTAGACTCAACCAGTGCAAATTTCCATGTCTCACTTTACCTATTCTTGTGTGCTTTTAGAGGGAGGTTGCAAATGTAATGCTATATTGTGTGCTGCTTTATTCATGATAGGCTTGTGGATAACTGAGATCAGATAACTCTCTTCAGTTTAGGACCTTGCAACAACCACAGCTAGATCTTCATCTCAACAATCTAGGTGGATGTGAAGCAAGGATCCAGAGATACAAACTTTGTATGTAAATCAGTATATCAATACAAGATGAGGGATCTTACACTGTTTAGCAGTGATCTATTATGGGGGTTCTTATATTGAAAGTACTGAAAGTGATCTTATGTTACCGGTTTTCCTTAGCAGATGAGAAATATCTGATATATTGTACAATATTGATATGGTACTTCAATGGCATTACCAGGGAATTGCCAGCTAACTAATAATGTGAATGAGAAAGGGCAGGCATCTAGTTAACTCATTACATAATAGGACGTGTTTTCACTAAGCAAATGCAATGCCCATCTAATATTTCCTCTAAATATTTACTACAATATTTATAGATGCACAGTGAAGCAAAAAAGTTGCATCTGTTGATTATTTCTTTTCACAGAAAATAATGACTGGTTAAATTGCTATTATGGTCTCAGGCATATCCACTTCAGTCGATTTTCTCAATCATCAGTATGAGTTTTATATTAGCTAATTCAAGAGAAAATCAGATAGCTATCAGGCAAATCATTAATTGAAAGGAGCAACAGCAAAACCAACTTGCATTTATATGACACCTTTCATGTAAACAAACATATCAAAAGTGAATATGAGAGATATAGTAGAGTAGAATTACTGATTTTTATTATAATAATAATCCTTTTCCATCAAGAGGGCATCTCAAAATGCTTCACAGGATATACTGTAAAGTGGAGTGACTCTTGTGTTTTTGTGGGTGAATGGGGCAGTCTACTTGCACACAGTAATGTCTCACATACAGCCATGAAGTGAATGACTAATTTTATTTTGGGGGAATTTTGGCCAGGATAGTGGAAGAGACTCCTTTCTCTTTCCAGGTAGTGCCATGGGATCTTTAACGTGCACCTGAAGTGGCAGACGGAGCCTCAGCTTAGGATCTCATCCAAAGGAGAGCACCTCCAACGATGCAGCACACCCCAATACTGTATTGGGATGTCATCTTAGATTATATGAGTCCCAATTTTGAATGTGGGTCTTCAACCAAAACCTTCTGACGCACAGGCAGAGTGCTACCTACTGAGCCAGGCTGACACATGTCATTATTTTACAATGGGAATGGGCTTGTTTGGTCCTGTACCCACGTATTTGAAGCTCTCTTTTTAGAACATGTCTCCCAGTTGCTGAGAAGCACAATTTGGTGGCTTCACATACGAGATCAGGTTAGGACTTTTTTCTGTGGTTTCAAACATTAAGTTTAGTAAAGGAAACAAACCTTAGCAATGCCAAGTTATTGTAGTTGAAAAAATAAGCCAAAGGCAGAGAGGAAATGGATATAATATTACACTACTAAAACATAAAACAATTAAAAAAAGAAATGTTATACAACAACAAAATTACATTTATAGAGCGCCTTTCACGTCGGAAGGACGTCCCAAAGCGCTGAACAGTCAGGTGTCGGGGCCCGAGCATGGGGGAGGGGTGGTGTAAGGGTGAGGGAAGGCAGAGAGGTGGGAGGGAGACCAAAGGCACGGTTGAAGAGAAGGGTCTTGAGACCGGCCTTGAAGGAGGCAAGGGAGGAAGCGAGGCAAAGTACTGAAAGTGGGATGGAGTTCCAGAGTGTGGGGGCAGAGAGGCTGAAAGCCCGGTCACCGATGGTAGTGTGGGTCGGGCGGAAGACATGGAGCAGGCCGGAGCCCGCTGAACGGAGGGAGTGAGCAGGTTGGTAGGGAGTCAGCAGGTCAGAGAGGTAGGAGGGGGCAAGGCCATGGATGGCCTTAAAAGTGAGGATGAGGATCTTGAACTCGATCCTCTGGGGGATGGGGAGCCAGTGGAGTCGGGCGAGGGTAGGAGTGATGGGGTCACGGAGCCTGGTGTGTGAGAGTACACAAGCTGCAGAGTTTTGGATGATCTGCAGCTTGTGAAGGGAAGCGTTGGGAAGGCCGATGAGGAGAGAGTTCCCGTAATCGAGCCTTGATGTGATGAATGCGTGGGTGAGGGTTTGGGCAGCCTGAGGGGTGAGGCAGTGGCAGAGTCTGGCAATGTTGCGGAGGTGGTGGTAGGCAGTGCCGGTCATGGCGCAGGTGTGGTGGAGAAAGGACAGTTCAGGTTCAAACAAGATACCCAGGTTCCTGACCGGCTTAGTGAGGTTGAGTGCGCAGCCGTGGATGCTGATGCTGCCAGCGCCTGAGGTGCGGAGGCGCTGGCGTGAGCCAATCAGAAGGGCCTCGGTCTTGCTGACGTTGAGTTGGAGAAAGTTGGCCCTCGTCCAGGACATGATGTCGGACAGGCAGTCGGTCAGGACGCCAATGGTCCTGGAGTTGAAAGTGGAGGCAGAGAGGTAGAGTTGGGTGTCATCCGCACACATGTGGAAATTTACCCCATTAGTATGTAGAGGGTGAAAAGGAGGGACCGAGGACAGAGCCCTGAGGAACACCGCACGAGACGGTGCAGGGGCTGGAGGAGAAGCCATTTGCCTCCCCGAAGTGCAGGCGGTGTGAAAGGTAGGACCTGAACCAGACAGAACCTTGAACTTTTTAGAAAGAAAAAATTCTTTCTCTGTAGAAAAAATTCAGCGAAACTATGTTTGATAAATTAAACACAGAGTGATGAGATTGGAAAGTAGAATAAACAGTGAGATATATAAAAAATTAAGATATAAAAGATGTACAAAAAGCATGATCCATGAGAGGGATTTGGGTTTCCTGTGGGTTTGATTGTTGAACTCATTAGCATAGCGTTTAGTATGAGTAAAGAAAATAGGTATCCAACAGGAGTTGAGCTTTATTTAACTAAATGGATAGAGCACAAGTTAAACACACTACTGCCGTGCTTGTTTAAAGCACTGGTTCGACCACCAGTGGTTCGACTCACCACCACCACTCATGCACACACTTGGAATACTGTACAATTTGGGTCACCGTAGTCCAATAAATGCAATTTAAAATTCAGGGCATGGAGAAGATTAAGTAAAGGACAAATGAATTAATAATAAATTAAAAACACAACCTTTTGACTCAGAGGCGAGCGTGCTACCAACTCAGCCAGGCTGACACTGTATTAACATTGCTTGTCCAGAGAGATGTCTTGGAGGGGCAAATGTTGTCGAGAATCCGTGATATTGCAGATTTATACCTGCACAACATTGGGAGTACTGGTTGCCACTATGAGTCATGTGTATTTTCTTGTGCCATATGTATCTTTGAAAGAGATACAAAACTTTGAGTAATTTGTGCAACCACGACTTTACCAGGAAACAATCTGTTGAGGTTTATTTGTGTAAACAATTTGATGTGCTTTTTGTATGCATGTTCCAACAAATCATAAATGAGTCTTTAATCCGAGGTCCCATCTGACTTTTCAGATGTATGTAAAAGATCCCGTGGCACAATTTGAAAAGAGAAAGGAGTTTCTCCTGATATGCTGGCCAACAGTCTCCCAAATAAAATTTGTCATTCACTTCATGTCTGTTTATGGGACATTGTTGTATGAAAATTAGCTGTTGCGTTTGCCTATAAATACTCACTCGCTACATTTCACAGAAAATCCTGTTAATGTCTTGATGATGCGATAAGGCGATATATCAAATGCAAGTATAATTATTAATAATCTCATCACTGAACTCGATTTTACACTTGCTTTTTTTCCAGTCTTAACTCTTGTTCTTTTGGTAGTTTTAAAGGCTTGATTTTCGACTTCGAAGATGGAAATTTGCTGAAACTGGGTGAAGATGGGACAGTTCTGAGGTAGTGATTTTAATTTGTCATTTAAACAATAATGGCTTAAGGTCAAGTTTAATAGAATTTATACTTGGATTGTAAAACAAGGATTACGAGATCCTTGTAGCCCATGTAGGAATCATTTGAGGTTGAATATGAAATCCTAGGAATTTGAGTTTGTTTAAACATAGGCATATTGTGGATAAAATAGAAAAATGGTAACCAGAGAAGTGATTGATCAGAAAGTCTATTTAAGATTTGGGTTGCATCTGTAACATTTGTGACCATTAAAACTATGACCATATGTAGTCCAACTGAGCCATGATTGTTGTGGCCTCAAACATTTTGAGCAATTTATTGCTGTGCCATTTTATCCTTAATCTTTATACATATAAATCGATATTGATATTCCCAGCGCATATGATAGTATCGAATTACAGCAGAATTTAATTTTAATTATTTTACCTGAGTAAAAAGAAATGGATTTTCCATGTTTGATTCTTCCATTAGGGCCAGTCATGGCACTAAATGTTTGACAGTAGAACAAATAATAGAAAGCTATGGAAAGAAGAGGAAATGGAAGCACTTCAAAACTATCAATGGGACATTTGCACGTTCAGGTATGTAACACATGACTTTGCATATTGAAAGCATTAAAACTTACATTAGAGTACATTAGAATACGTGAGAATATACAGCACAGAAACAGGCCATTCAGCTCAACTGGTTTATGCTGGTGTTTATACTCCACATGAGCCTCCTCCTGCCCTTCCTCAACTAAACCTTCAAGCATAACTTTCTATTTCTTTCTCCTCATGTACCTATCTAACTTTCCCTTAAATACATCTATGCCATTTGCCTCAACAACTCCTTGTGGTAGCATGTTCCACATTCCCACTACTCTCTGTGAAGTAATTTCTCCTGATTTCCCTATTTGATCTATTTGTGACTATATTGATGGCCCCGGGTTTTGTTCTCCCCACAAGTGGAAACATCTTCCTTATGTCTACCCTATCAAAACCTTTCATAATTTTAAAGACTTCTATCAGGTCACCCCTTACCCTCCTCTTTTCAAGAGAAAAGAGTCCAAGCATGTTCAGCCTTTCCTGATGGGTATAACCTCTGAGTTCTGGGATCATCCTTGTGAATCTCCTTTGCACTCTCTCCAGTGCCTTTACATCCCTTCAATAATGTGGGGACCAGATCTGTACACAGTATTCTAAGTGTGGTCTAACCAAGGTTCTGTAGCAGTTTACCATTACTGTCCTGCTTTTCATTTCTATCCCTCTAGAAATGAACCCCAATGCCTGGTTTGCCTTTTTTATGGCCTTATTAACCCGTGTTGCTACTTTTAGTGAATTGCTTATGTGTGAGTGAATTATGTATGTGTATTACCATTTTTAGATTTATTCTATTTCTGTGAGAGTTCCTAAAAATGTAAAATGGTTGGGAAATATTTTGGTGATAATAATTGCCAAACATTGCCTACCCAATGATTTAATGGCATGTTATTGAATATTATCCTTTTTTTAAAAAAGGTAAATCACTGGTTGTAGCAATGAGATACAAAACCTAAACAGTTTACAAATTGTAGAATCATAGAATCCTACAACACAGAAGCTGGTCATTTGGCCAACTGTGCCTGTGCCAGTTAATTGAAAGAGTTGTCCAATTGTCTCACTTCCCCATAGCATTGCAATTTTTTCTTTTCAATATATATCCAATTTCCTTGCATACTATTGCCTCCAATTGAATACTATTATTTATTAGCTTTGTTAGAAATGTATTAATCTTTTAACAGTGAATCTGAGCTCCAGGATGCTGCTGTGTGAAGGTTGCTATATAACTGCAAGCTACTGCTGCTGTTGTTCTGACTGAATTCTCTCTCTCTTATCAGGGAAGTATCATTTCTATGACAATTATTTTGACCTTCCAGGAGCCCTTCTATCTGCTCGGATAGTGGATCTTTTAGATCAGGTGAGACAATATGACTGGCTTCCTTCATTGCAGATTTATATATGTTATCGTACATTCCTTTTCACACATTTTTCTCTTGGGATAGGAGAGAATGTTAGTTTCACTTTACGTAAAAGTATACTATAATGTCCCCTCTCTTCCATAGAAAATCTACTGTAAATTAAGAATATAAAAGACCAGAAAAATATCAAACTTGTGCTCCCTTGTTGTAGAAATTGTAGTCATGACAAGCATTTGATTTGTTCAATTTACCTTATTCCATAAAAACTTGAATCTTCAATAAGATCTCCCCTGAGCTATCTTTTCTTACTTGCAAATGTTTCGGGTTTCCATAGTATCTCATTATAGCTTATTTTCCAAATCTTAGCAATAGAAAGTAGTACTGCATTGTTCCAAATATAACGGATCCACAATATTAAGGTAATTCCTAATTTTCAGTTATATTTGAGGAAAAATGTAGTGTGGTAAACATAAAACAGTCCAAAATTTGTTTTGTATACATTTAGAACATTAAAATTACCCTAATAAAAGTGATAGCATGTTTTCCAAATTTTAAAACACTGGCAATTTAATGAAAAAAAATAATAATCCTTGCATTTGCTATAGCGCCTTATATCTTTAAGGTGTCTCAAAGCACTTCACAGAATATACTGTAAAGTGAATTGACTATATTTTGTGGGTGAAATGCGTCAGTCAATTGCACACAGCAGTGTCCCACAAACAGTCATGGATTGAAATAACACTCATTCACTAATTACTACCAATCTTTCCATTTACCTACGTAATGCAGAAATCACACCCCTAATAAACATGGATAGCGTGTTTGTAAATTCTCAATTATCACACATCACCACAACTGGATTTGTTTATCAGTGTTTTGCAGCTTCTTACTGATAAGGGGAGTGGCAATTTTTAAGCTGGGATTTAGGAAACAAAAACTTGCTTTACATGAACAACAGTGAGGTGTTTCTGCAGTGCAGAATACCCTGATTCTTTGGATTCATATCATTGTATTTAGACCTTTGTCAAAGAGGGATTGATTGAGGTCTGTGGTATTTAATGAACAGCATTAAACTGAAGTTTAATTTTGAAAAATAATAAAATGAGGTCCTAAGATAATGTACAAGTAACTTGGTAATATTTTCTGCAGATTCAGTATCATTACTTCACAATCCTGAAACCTTCCGCATGTTGTTCATTAGTTTCTAGTAATTAACAGTTAAGAGTACAAACTTATTTATTTATCACAGGATCTGGTTACTCCTGCTGCGGCTATTTCCCTTGAACCAGAGGTGGCTTTTGACCAAGTGAAACAGGTATGTGTTTTAATCTAGGATCATATGTACTCATATGTACAGAGTCCTTGGTGGTGCCTGTTTTTACTCAGTGGAGATTTGTATCATTTCTAGCTGTTTGAGGTTAGGACAATTCGGTTGAATTAAGTTTTGACCACTAAATTTACTCAAGATTACTCTGGCAAGGAATAATTGGTGTGTGTTTATCATAAATGTACTAAGAAACGTATTGTTTTTCTGAACGGACAACTGCGTTCTCCTAACATCGACCAATCCAATCCCCTTTCTCTTACTTCAGAAAGTTTCAAACTTTAAAGGGACGTGTTGTTATGATCAGTCTCTGGCACAAAAGTTAATACAAGCCTGGTTCAAATCTGCTGCTAATTTCCTGTAAGATATTTATAAATCATAAAAGTATAGCATTTCTGAAATAATTGTTTAAAGAAATTGTGGAAGTTCATATTTATTTTTAACAGTTGGTGTATTCTTCTTTATGAAACTGACTGAAAAACTCAGCAAAGTTTGAACCATTCTGCATATGATTTAACATCACCTTTTATGCTCACTTTTTTTAGTTTTGTTGACTCCTCAATGTTAAATTTGGTTGGGATGTACAAGGCGATGAATGGTTTCATTCACATTGAGGTCCTAAAGCCAATCTCAGCACAAAGGAGAGTCCTGCAAATTATTGTTATAGCTTCAGAAAAATCTTTAAATTATATCAACAGACAATATATTATTTAATTTAAATTGACGTAAAGTACAATAAAGTGCTCTGCAAGTAAAGTGATGTCAGTGTATTAACTTTAAAAGTAACAGTCATATCTGTATTTAAAAGCCTTCTGAAAATCTATCTTTTCATCTATTCCAACAATCGGGACCCCTCTCCACCTGCTTGGTGTCTGGTACAGTCTGTATAAAGTGCTTGGAGATAATTCGCCATGTGAAAGATGCTATATAAATGCAAGGTGGTGTTGCTGGTGTGTTTCATTCATTATCCTTTCCACCATTGTAACTTTCAGGCAAATTCTAATAGTTATATAATACTCAAAATGTTCTATGCGTAGGACTAAAGCCTATATTTCTTACATACCATTTTAGCCTTATCAAACCTCCTTTGTTATAAACTGCATCAATAGCTTGAGTAATTACATTTTTACACATCTTTCAACAAAGAAGGTTTGATAAGGCTAAAAATGTATTTTTAAAAAAAGACTGAATATTTGGGTCATTGGGGAAGACAAGTTTGCAGGGCTATGGGGAGAGAGCGGGGGAGTGGGATTGATTTGGATCGCTCTTTTCAAAGAGCCGGCACAGACACGATAGGCCGAATAGCCTATAGCTATTTGAACAATTCAGAACAAATGAATTCATTTTTAAATGAATGATTTTGGAAACTAAGGAGAAACAACATTTTCAACAGTAAATCTTACAATCTTGTCTTCCGCACTGTTCCCTTTGTCTTTTTTAACCCCTAAAATCCTTCTGCTTGTAGTAATAATAATTTTGATAACTGTTCTGACTAAAATTGGTTTGTAGTTTTGAATCTTAGAAATGGCAATTGAAATGGTAAGATTAAGGTATTTGAATCATTCCTTTTGTTTACAGCAAGAAACTACAAAGAAATATGAATTCTGGAAAGATGTAATTTCTTCCATTGAGTACAATTACAAAGCTTCTGCCTTCAAAGGTAAGTCAATCAGTGCACATGGTTGTATGTAACAGTATAAATAAAATGCATATACTTGTAGGAGTTTGTGAAACTGCTTTTTGACAATGAACTTTTGTAAAAGATTGTGAATCTGAAATATTCATCTTAAAGCACTACCAAGTTGGTATACAACACTTGGGAGACCACTTGGTGCTGTTTTGGACAGTATTCTCTTTTGGACCGTTTACTCCATCCTTTGCAAAAAAAAGGACATTATCAAAGTTTATTTACCAGCAGAATCCTTTGTTAAGTGTTTTCAACGACATGGTGCTCTGGTGTTGGTACATTCAGCTTGTGATGTTGCCGTTCCCCACTTGAATTCAATGTTTAATTTAATCACTAATGGTCCTGCACATTTTCTCTCATGGTGGTTAATAGAAAGAATAAACTGGTCAGGACAACTATTCTTGCAGTCGAATCTCAGTTTGGTGTTGTCTCTTTTTATAAGCGAAACCTACGTGCAGCTTTTTAATGTCATGAAGTCAAACGTTGTGGTTGAACCTATTGTGATATCGAAAATATTTCAATTTTATCAGCAGTGAATTCTAAATAATGGTTGTTGTTTATCAGATCATGGAGCAGATGATTCAGGAATGATTGAATCCTCCATATTCTTTTCTGGACATAATGGACTGTATGTGATCTACTTTGTCAAAATTGAGGATAAATTCAATTATTGAATTCAACTTTTCATCTTATCCCAGTCGTTCACCCTTTTCACAATTTTAGAAGGCAGTGAATAAGTTAATTGCAACTCAAATAAAATTATTTTATCGCTAACTACTTTGTGTCATTTAACTTAATTCTGACACTTGTTCAAGAGGAATGATCCGAGTGCACATACTTATCTACAAGCCAGCAAGCCATGCAATGGCAGCCATTTTGCCCCATTACACTTATGCAATAGAATCCCATTACAAATCACCCCTTTATAACACTGGTTAGTTCATAAGGTGGGAACCCTATTGGCTTGAGTGTGCGGGCTGGCTGGCCTCCCTTGAGCTAATAATGGCTGACTTCCGGGTCATCAAATTGTTGCTGATGTCACTTTCTGTGTTGGAAAATCAGCTATTTTTAGTGTGGGGTATCTAGCCAACTAACTGACCAATGATTGCAGATGTATATAAGACCGATTGAGATTTTACGGATCGCAATTACTGCCTTGGAACTGGATGCTACTGTGTACATCGCGACTATCTCCATCTTTACATCTGTTTCTGCAGTCTGTCTATCTTTGATTTCTCTTTGCTGCCTATCAAACAACAGAAACCAGAAACAGTCAGTTAAATGTTAATTACTATAATTATGCGTTCAAATATTGGCACAAATAATTAGTCACACATTAAATAATTTGTTTTCAAATGTGATTTCCCTTAATTTTCTAAACCATGCATGCGTGAAGTGACAGATGTGAACTCAACTCACTCAAAACCTGTGCATGCAGAGATTTCAACTTCTCAGTGGCCATCTTTTACCATGTGATGGACGAGGGCAGACAGTATTGTAAATTAAATTATACCTGGAAATTATTATTGTTCTATCGCTGCTATTGTTACATTAGTTTCCGCACACATATATATTATATATATACAGTTTCAGAGCTGATAGTATTAAACAAGCCTCTTGGAGAAGACTATAAGACTGAAAATATCTTTATTTTTAAAAAAGTAAGCTTTAAAAAAATAGATTCATCAGAGATTGCTATTGGAAAACCATGCTTAGATTTCATCACCACAAACCGCACATGAATTTAACTCAATTTTGTCAACTACTGTTTTTTTAAAAAAAAACTGGGTCGAGTTTCATTTATAATAATAATAATAATCCTTGCATTTGATATAGCGCTTTTCACGTCGGGAGGACGTCCCAAGCGCTTCACAGAACACACTGCAAGGTGAACTGACTGTACATTTGTGGGCGAACGCGGCAGCCAATTGCGCATAGCAATGTCCCACAAACAGTCGTAGATTGAAAATGACCAATTTACCATTGTTTTTGGCCTTAGAGGGACCATTATTAGGCGTGTGGAGCAAGGAAACCCGCCCAAGGTTTCGCCCTGCCTGAAATTGAACTCAGGTCTCGCCTGCAAAGCGAGTGCTCTAACCACTGAGCTATAGGACTCCACATTTCTGTTGTAGTAGTTCCAGTCTTACACAGGTCATCACATTTTTGCGCTTTGCTGGCCGTCTCCTGTCTCTGTTGCGTGGCCTTTCTTAATAATTTTTTAATTTTAATTTTAATTTAATTTAATTTTAATTATTCTTAATCTGTCTCCATTACTAATCTTGGTCTGTAAATTGAGCGTAATTGGTGATCTACAAATTAAAATAGTAATACTTCTAATAATGTGAAATAATAATAATAATATCGGGATGTCCTCCTGATGTGAAAGGTGCTATATGAATGCAATTTGTTTTTATTGTGTTCAATGACCAATTGAAGCACCAACATTTTTGCAGATCAATGTGGTCTATTTTGAGTATTAATTTTGAAAAAGATGGTTGCATAATTTAAAAGGCATAGTCTGTGTACTAAATCAAGGCACACGTTTCTCGTTTAATGAACAATGTTCAGAAATTTCATCTGAGATATATTTGTATGTTATTTGCATGTTTGTACAGTAGTTAAAATCCAACATAGTGGTTTTGGTGTTTTGTGGTGATCACTCTTTATTCACTGTGATGTGTGCAGCAGCACTATAAGAACATAAGACCATAAGAATTAGGAGCAGGAGTAGGCCATTCGGCCTCTCGAGCCTGCCCCGCCATTCAATAAGATCACGGTTGATCTTCAGACTTAACTCTAATTACCTGTCCTATCCACATATCCCTTTATCCCTCTATTTTTAAAAAATCTATCAGTCTCAGCCTTGAAGATGTTCAAGGACTGAGCATCTAAGTCTTCTGGGGTAGTGAATTCCATAAATTCCATAAATTCACTACACTCTGAGTGAAGAAATGTTTCCTCAACTCTGTTCTAAAAAGCTGACCCTTTAAGAATCTTACATGTTTCAATGCGATCTCTCCTAATTCTTCTGTACTCTAGAGAATACAGCCCTAGTTTATTCAGCCTATCCTCATAGGTCAGTCCCCTCATTCCAGGAACTAACCGAGTGAATCTATGCTGCACCCCCTCTAGGGCAAGTATGTCCCTTTTTAAATAAAGAGACAAAACTGCACGCAATACTCTGGGTGCGGTCTCATCAAGGCCCTATACAGTTGCAGCAAGACTTCCCTACTCTGATATTCTAAGCCTTTTGCAATGAACGCTAACATGCCGTTCGCCTTCTTAGTTGCTTGCTGCACCTGCAAACTAACATTTTGAGACTGGTGTACAAGGACACCCAAATCCCTCTGAACACTTAACACTATCTAATCTCGCCCCCTCTAGAAAATAATCTGTTTTTCTATTTTTTCTACCTAGGTGAATAACTTCACACTTCCCCACATTAAATTCCATCTGCCACCTACTCGCCCACTCCCCTAGCCTATCTATATCCCATTGCAATCTTTTTGCATCATCCTCAGAGCTTACTCTCCCAACTAGTTTAGTGTCATCCGCGAATTTAGATACGTTATATTCAATGTCCTCATTGATGTAAATTGTAAATAGCTGAGGCCCAAGCACTGATCCTTGTGGCACTCCACTAGTCAATACTCCAGCCATTTGCCATCTTGGTTTGTTACTGTTGAATGTGTAACATTTGCCATGGCGCAAAAGATGCCATGGTTAAACGTATTTGCTTATTCATGGTTAGAAATGTGAGCAGATCAATTCTATAAAACCTAATGCATTCATTACAGTGTAGGTCTGGTTGTGTTGGTAAATATTAATGCCAGATTGAGAGCAATGAAGTGGAGTTAGGTGGGTTATGAAATGGTTAGTGGAATGTTTGACAAATATTTACATAATTGATCTCTGGATTTCTTGTGTTGAAGCTACCAAGAAAGGGTCTTGTTGCATTCTGTTGGAGTCCGAGTCCGTTATAACATGCTTCTTTTTAGTGTGGATTTGGTTCTTGCACAGTTGTGATGTGGACCTCATTCACTGCCCATTAGTGCAGCTGCCCTGTTTGTCTCTTGCGCACTGGCTACTTCTTGCATTAAAATGATTGACTTCCAGGTCAATAGGTCTCTGTGTTATAACAAGCCTACTGTATATTACTGCTTGACTCCATGAACCATAGTCAAGTGCTTATGATTTAAGCATAATATTTAATTCTCTGTCAATAACTTGATTTATTTTTTCTAGAATTGCATTTTCACTGCTCAGTACATTGCAATGTCTTTGTAGTAAATGTCATCCAAAAATTCGAAGTACAGAATGTAAATAACATTTGTATTATGAAATAGATGTGTTGCTGTATGTGTTTGCAGTTTGACTGTAATTGCAGTGTAAAAAAAATCAGTTAAATATCTGGTTGAAAGATGAATTTGCTCATGAACCTTATAATTGCATAAAAGGTTTCAAGTCTCTAAGGTTTCAAGAACAGTTATAAAATCAATTGTTGACCTCAGTATATTATCTAAACTGACAAAAAAACAGTAATATTAAAGTGGTTGATCTGTGTCTAATGTGTCACCGGAGATGTTGTAAGTGAGGCAAAAAAATAATCCCAACTTTCGAATTGTCAGGTCACTGCTCACATCACTTCTTTCATGTTAATATCACTTTCTTCCTGAAGTGACGTCAGCGGCATTCCCTGTGTATATGACATCTCTGTACCAATGCAGAAGGCAGGAAGTAAGCAGGGATTTCTTCTCATAATGGAGATCCTTGTCTTCACTTTTAAAGTCCTCCATGGTCTTGCCACACCTTATCTATCTCAGTGACCGGATAAACCCTTGTCAACCTGCCCACTCTCTCTGCTTGGGCGGGCACTGCCTGCTTCATGACATTGCCCTACCCGCTCCACCATCGGCGATAGGGCCTTCCGTCTTTCTGATCCCACCCTTTGGAACACATCCTGGAGTCCCTTT